ATATCTAAATACATAAGTGTACACAAATGACACATTGCGATCAATTATCGCATTTTTTGCGCACAAATTATCCCACTATATACACCAATTAGCTATTGGAACGAACGCTAGTTATTTGTACGACATGACATTGCCGGCACGCTCAGAATGTATTACTCGGATAATCTTTCAACGTAAATCATCTGATTATATTGAGAATAACCAATCCTGAAGAGAATAGTAGTATAATTTTTTTGCGTCTTTCAGCAACGCAATTAAGCTGAATAGCTGGCTTCCAGAGCTCATCTAATACTGAAAGCATTTCACGAAATGAAAATGAAATTCGCAGTCGATTAAGAGGAAAAAAATAACAGAAGCGAGGTATGAAAGCAACAGCAACAAGCCGCTAAGATAACCGCTACACGACATTCAGATAAAATATACAAACAGTTAAAATAATAGGAACAAGGTGTTAAGATAACAGCAACAAGACGTAAAAATGATAACAACAAGGCAATGAGATAACAACGACGAGGCAATACGATAACAGCAACAAGCCGTTAAAATAACAGCAATCAGGCGTTGAGATAACGAGAAGAAGGTTCATTTCGCTCAATATTGCTTCGGCCTGGGGAAGTCCACGCTTATTCGCTAATCAAAAGCGAAGAACGCGATTATTGCATCTCAAAATTGGGTCGTATTAGAATAAATGCAAAGTGTTAATATAACAGAATCGTTTTGAGGCAGTAAAATTAGCTTTAGGCACGATATTAAGCAATTCAAATGCAAATATTGACATTAAGCGTCTCATGACTCGCTGCAAAGAGCGTTCCTGAGACGCTGTGGCACACGTGATCATCGCTGCTGTATTGTGATGGTATTTCTCTGTCTTACACCACTCAGGCACTGCGCACCGTCATCCACAGTAAGGCACTATAATGCCATCCTCTCATCACTCAAAACTATCCTGCCCCTCACTCGTCACTCAAGCACAACCCTGCGACTCATCACTCAGGCCCTTCCTACCACTTACTCGTCCCTCTGGCATTGCCGTGCCACTTACCACTCGGGCACTTCCCTGCCACTCACCACTCAGGCACTTCCCTGCCACTCACCACTCAGGCACTTTCCTACCACTCGGCACTCAGGCACTTCCCTGCCACTCACCACTCAGGCACTTCTCTGCCACTCACCACTCAGGCACTGCCGTGCCACTCACTCAGCACTCAAATTGGCGCTTAAGCTAATTCTGCCCCACATTTAGAGGGGCCGCGGGGCTGGAATGCAATAGAGGGAAGTTCCGTGCAAGCTAACACGAAGAGCACAATCCACCCTCGTTCAAAATTAGAGGCGTATCGAGGTCGGCCATCCGCCAGTCGCATGTGAACATCTTAGTATTCTGGACCAGGACATGCACCTGAGGCCTGGGCTTGGCTTAGGCTACATCGTCATTCTCTGGTTGCAGTTCACGTATTTTCCTAGCACAAAAAGAACGAAGTTACCACGAGAGCAACAAACAATGCACAAATATATTTGGACTCTAAACTCGATTAACTTCCTGAATATCACTGATATTATTGTTTCGCAGTCACAATTGAATTCCATTTGGGCAAGTTTTGAACTCAGTATTTTTACTAAAGAATAGAAGAAAGAATACAAAATCCGAATTAACCAATTTGTATCATTATTATCATTGATTTTGAGCACATAAAAGTCGGCTTCTGTGACTCGATGAGCAGGCACTGTTATCCTGAGCAGTGCAGACTCATCATACAAGTTTTAAAACATTCATCCATTCACAAGTGATACGACGACGAAACAACTGGAACTGAATTTTTGAACAAGAAACACAAAGCAAAGAAAACGCCAAGTGAATTCACCATATCTTTAATAGAAACGTTTTTCATCATCAGCTGGTCACCATTTCTTCGATGAAGAACGACCAGTTTCATCATCAGCCAGTGTAACATCGTAACATTGAAGATAAGTTGAATTTACTCAGCTATTAAATTCTTGGAGAACTTGAATTTTAAAATTTTCCATAGATCGATCTGCTAAATTATACTTGAAAATCTAATTGAATAACTATGTCTTCCAACAAAGATAGGAGTAATAACCTTCACGCAGTCATAGCTCGGTGTGACACAGAACTTCTCAAAACTGCTGACTCAGCTGCATGTGATAACAATAAATATATTATGGGACTACTTTTTTACAGTAATATCGGGCGCAATTTACGAAGATGTCTACAACTTCAGGACCATCAGTAAATTAGATGGGAACTTTGCGACAGCGGCCCTCGCCACACCAGGGGCCGGGCGCCGCCCCTCCAATAGCGGGCTACACAAACAGAGCTAAAATAAGACTATCCCTCGCAGGCATGGAAAATGTTACAAAAGTGATCGTCATGATGGGAACTTTTAACTTTTTAAAAAGTTGGTTTGTGGAAATTTTGATCGAATTAATTATCAATAACATACGGTTGCTTTTAAGGATGAAGCACATATTATAATTGGATTTAAAAGCGAGCGATGCACTTTGAGACATTTTCACAATAAATAAAGATATTTCAGCTTTGCAGAACACGTTGTGCAACAAAAACCAAGCGAAGGCTTTCAAGATTTATATTCCCTAATTATCTCATAATTACTAGAATGCTATGCAGAATGCGACCATCCTGCGCAATCTTCTGAACCATATTATTTGGCTGCAATTTTGACCAGCGCTCCGAGAAATCAAGCTTTAATAAGAGGCAAGCAAAGAAGGCTCAGCAAACTCCTTGCATTTTAAATGAAAAGAACGGAGAGACTGGCAATACAAAAAGGCCGTCAACTTCAGAAAGTCAGGATTACTAGAGTGCAGTATACTAACCCTGTATAGGCTATATACGCCCTAGCGTGCAGGTTATGTACGCCCTGGCGTATAGTATATAGAGGATACGCTCCAACTTACAGGCTGTATACGCCCTAGCGTACAGGCTATATACGCACCAGCGTACAGGCCATGTACGCACCAACGTACAGGCTATATATGCGCCAACGTACAGGCTATATACGCACCAACGTACAGGCTATATACGAGCCAACGTATAGGCTATATACGAGCCAACGTACAGGCTATATATGTGCCAACGTACAGGCTATATGCGATCCAACGTACAGGCTATATACGAGCCAACGTATAGGCTATATACGAGCCAACGTACAGGCTATAGATGTGCCAACGTGCAGGCTATATGCGCGCCAGCGTACAGGCTATATACGCACAACGTACAGGCTATATACGCACCAACGTACAGGCTATATACGCACAACGTACAGGCTATATACGCACAACGTACAGGCTATACACGCACAACGTACAGGCTATATACGCACCAACGTAAAGGCTATATACGCACAATGTACAGGCAATATCCGCGCCAACGTACAGCTATATACGCACCAGCTTACAGACTATTTACGCACAAACGTACAGGCTATACACGCATCAATGTACATACTGCAGGCTATATATAAGCACCAGCGTACAGGCAGTAAAGGCACCAGCGTACAGGCTATATATGCACCAGTGTGCAGGCTATATATGCACCAGCGTATAGGTTATGTACGCACCAGCGTACAAGCTATATACGCACCAGCGTACAGGCTATATACATAAGCACCAGCGTATAGTATATAAACAACCCAACGTGCACGCTACATGAGCACCAGCGCACAGGCTATATATATTTACGCATCAAGGTACAGGCTATATACGCACCAACGCACAGACTACACTGTAAGAGTCAATCGCTAACATCCTTCACTTCGCATCAATGAACGAACCTCACTATGCATCATAATCTTTGCATTCAGTTCATTTATTACACTTCAATGCAGTTCTTTCGCGTCTACTTAAAAAATTGTCGTATAAATCATTGCTAACATCACAGGCTCTTTGATGCGCCGAGCTGTTGCAAAGCATTCAAGATTCCAATGTGAGAAACACGCAAAAAAATCCCTGCATGCAAGCAGCGCACGAAATAGCCTGCATGCAAGAAGTACGTAAAATATTGTGCGATGCAAGAAGAACGTAAAATATCCCAGAGGGGACTTGTTCCCTTGTTTGATAGCCCCGAAAACTTCTCTTCAACAATTCGTGTGGAAATTACAAAGGATTATGCAGCGCGACAGCGTCAATAACGCAGCGGGCCTGATGTTGTGTGATGCGAACGAGTGAAACGACGATGAATTATTGGCCTCAGCATTGTTTTATCTACAAATCTACCCTTGCTGCTTGAATAATTTCAGTTTTGAATTTGAACCTAAAATATTGGTTCAATTATCCAGCGCCAGGTTTGCTATGTAAGGCAGGTGTCATGTTGCACAACTCGGACTGAAAAAAAAATGTGGCATCGCCTTCCCACAACGGCGCAAAAATATATTTTATCGAGCGCGCAATCAATAGACTATCTTCGCAGCAACTAATTAGAACAAAGGAGTATGCAATGCACTCGTTGAACACACATCGATACTAACGCATGATTATCACCTGGCCAGATAACCAAGATTTGATATCAGTGTCAGCAAATGGACTCAGCATGCATGGTCTTCGATATAAATGGGATTGTAAATGACAGTAAAGATAGCGAGAAAAACGACAACAGTTTGTTGAAGGTGACTTAATTGTTAACATAGAGATGATTAGGCGATTAATTAGGTGAACTTGGCTATAAGTAGCGCCAAGACTTCAGATTTTTGTGATACTTATAATGATATTCAAAAGGCGAAAGCGGAGTTAAAGTTTGCGTTTTATTAAAATAAGGAAGTTAGATTGCCCCCTACAAGAGTAGGAATGATATTCAATTGATTCTTTATTATCCATTCGAAATGATATAATATTAAAATGGTAAATGACATTAATATTATAATAACTAATTGTATTTTATAAATAGACCGATATATCGATGAGTGATGAAGAGCTTGGAGAGATTTTAATTGCATCTCAAATTTGAACAATTTGAATGAAGTTTATCTTACCCGGGGAGGAGTGGAGGGGTAGTGCAGCTCAGGGGGGATGATGATGGGGAGAGACACGATGGCGGTGGCTGGGGGGAAGTCCTTGGGGATGCGCAGGGTGAGCGTGGGGTGAGGCCAACTGGTGTTCAGAGCCACCATCCCATCTGGGGTGCAAAAAGAAACAAGTGTTAACATCGGTTAAAATAACACCATCAATGACAGCGCATCATATCAGTCGACGACGCTTTAATAGATTTCTATTCAAAGAAAATATTCAGAGTAGAAACTTGGACTGCGTAGCAATTATGTCGCATCAATATAACAAGTTAACTGAGCACCAATGTTATCGCAGCAATGTTGCAAGTTAGGCAGCGCACCAACAATATCGCAGCAATGTTGCAAGTTAGGCAGCGCACCACCAATATCGCAGCAATGTTGCAAGTTAGGCTGCCTATCAATAATATCGGAGAAATGTTGCATATTAGGCTGCATATCAATGTAATATCGCAGAGTTAGGCAGACATTGAACAGAGTTCCTCTTAATGGTGCCTATAAAAGAACACAAGTAACAATGCTTGTACCAATTAAATTAATGTTCTATTGTTCTAGTATTCACTCAATCTCGGCCTCGTCGCTCGTAAACAGCGATAGATCATCAATCTCTTGTATTATTTGTTTACATCAATGCACAGTTATAATGTACATCAATGCCTAAATACATTTATCTTTATCTCACTTCGAAACATACAATCAATTATATTTGAGTTTTCTAACCAAGGTTTGGCCAAACACCAGAACAGAACAAGAATTTCGTTTAATGACAATAAATTTGAGGAAAATCCAAAAAGGCGAGACAAAATTTCCAAACAGCAATTTATGCGTTCCCCTGCCTATTGTTTGCCCGTGTGATTTATTTTGTTCAAGACGATCTGCATAAATTTATGAAACCCCGAGCCAAAGCCGGCGTCATCAGCTTGAGAACTACTTGAGACATAGCGACATTAAGGAGACAACTTTATGCATGATATGGGCTCGCAAACGATGTATATTTTATCCCGGCGCATAATGTTTCATTTTAACACAGCATCTTTATCGGCATGCGTATTTTATCCCTGCGCATAATATTTCATTTTAACACAGGATATGCACTCGTACACGATAAGTTATCAACTCACTGCATAGTAAATTTCATCCCGTATCATTCAATTTAGTACCGTGTATATAAGTATTTACTCAACACGATCACAGGAAGGTATCTGCTATCTGGGGTACCAGTTTGTGATATCATTCATTATGATGTAATATTATATTCGATTACAGATTTGAATTTTTTTAGTAACTGATCTTTCAACGCTGCGTGGTATCATTCAACTCATTGAATGTTTTACCATCCCAAGATATCTCTGCCACATCACTTATTCATAACTCTTGCTGTCAGGCTATGATATTCCCCCGCGTTCGATGTTCTGTGATGTTTGGTGTTTACATACAAGGCTTTTGAAGTTCACATGTACACAAGCAGGCAACATGCAGGAAGGCGGCACTCAAAGAAAATTCCCGAGCGCCCGCATCTGTAGAGAGATCTTTAAACAGCGTTTTGGAAGCCATAATACTTATATTAGTTTGTCACTGGGAAGTTTACGTTGCCACTCACAAAATTATCAATACCACTAAAATCACTGGCAATAATTTGCAATAAGAAAAATGAAGTTAAATTGTTGTTTCAGCTGAAAAATTCTAATGTGTTTGTGCAAAGCCGGCTTTATAGTTATACTGTAGTTACCTTTTGTATGAAAATCATCGGCAAGAGATTTAGGTAAAGATTTACAGCAGTTTCCTAGCATTTATAACGATTAATCGAGAGGTTGGATTTGATAAGATAATGAGATCTTACGACAGGGAAATATGTTTTTCTTTTTAAACAAGTAATGAATGTGCTATATAAGAAAGACCAAGCAAGAAGCTTGAGCTCCCCCACCAGCATGCACGTGGGCGTCGGGACCCAACATTCCAAAGCCTTTGAAGATCGTTGACGTTCCAGCGAAATTCTTCAATATTTTGTCGTAAGTTTGCGTCGACTGCATCTGACTGAGAAGCTGAAGAACGTTTCATCGCAGGCCGCCTCCACGCCGTCGTAATTCAACGCAGGTTTCCCACAATAAAGCATTCAACCTTCAACAACAACAACCATTCTACTTGCAGTTTCTTTGATCCGAAGCCAGAAACAGAGGAAAGAAAACGATGGACTATACAGTATTATTTCTACCAATCGTCCGGATATGTGCTTAATGTCTCTGTTAATAATGCTTCTTGTCATGACATTTCGGTTTTATTAAAGCACATTGTTCATATAAATAAACCTCAACAATTGCTAGCACTACTATGCAGGAAACAAGGATAGCTGATGCATAGAAAAGTTGCGTTTTCTTCACAACCTCAAATCACAGCAGGAGAAGTTTCAAGCGTTATCAAAGTATTACTTACTCCAAATTAAAACTAGAAATAAAAATTATAATATTCATAGTTGTTTCTTAAGTTCGAATATATAAGTAGAGAATTTTGTTGTTGGGTGAATTTCTTCGCCCAAGATCAAGTTGAGTTGTCATTTTCATTGTATCTGAAATGAGCTCCGAGTCCAGGTTTTAAGGCTCGGTCAGTTTTTACTATGTCGCTCATCCTGCAACACAACTCAATCCGAAGCAGCAAGTAGTGAGATAACCTGTCTAATGCTGCCACTAAACACCCGTTACCATTTGTTCGGGTGAAAACAATCGCCAATTTAATCGAACTAAGTTGCTGGGAATGCCGTAATTCGAATATATGCTACCAAAGGAGACGCGGGTATCGGATAAACGACGATCAAAGCTGAAAAATAATCAGTAACTCAGTAAATTTTCTGAGGAAGAGTCCGTCCAGAATTCTATCAAAGAGAGACAAGGAGTCGAATATCAACTTCAAATTCAACGACAAGAATTTTCATACTTCAATTCCTGAAGATAGAAAAACATCTATTCGGAAACATTTTTCTGGAATTTTTTTCTATTTAATACCAGATAACAAGAGCGAAAAGAGCAATGCTGCCCTCAGAAGGTTCAGCAATTCTCCGTTTGTTGCGATATTATTGATCAGTCATCGAAGAAAAACTCAAATTTATAGCAACTGTAAATTGAAAACTCGAAAAAGATCCCTAATTAATCGAAAACAGTTATTTAAGACTTTTGGAAATTGCGTATTAAATCAATTCCTGATCTTTTTAGAGTGATCAATTTAATATCGCCATGAATTTGAGTGTGTCTGATCACGAGTGTTAACCGTTGTCTCTGATCAAGAGTGTTAACTGATCAAGAAAATTGGATCTTTTTGCAAAGTTTGACCGCTGCAGTGTTGTCCACCCACACGCCGCTTCCAAACGAAGCGTGCAAGTGCAAGATCAACATCCCCACTTGCATGATCAAAACGGCGACTCACAAATGTTGCTGCAAAACCCGGCGTCATCAACAATAAAATCAAACCAACATTTGGTTCACAATCCTTTGTCTCCATGCATCACAATGAAACAACGCAGAACAACTGAAGAACACAATGCGATGAACAAAACTGGTTAGGTTAATGGAATACCCTGGCTGCTGGAGATTCCATGCAATCTCTTCGCTTGCTGGGTTTCCGGCCGACAGCGATTTTAAAATAATGGATTGGGAAGTATTTATAGCATTCACGACTTCCCTTTGTCTGTCCCCCATCCGCCATTCCAGATGCAGCAACGGAAAGCGACTGGTCTAAACAGAAGCAATCAATTCAGATAGATATTACCTTCCTAACCGCAAAACCTCAGTCTTAAATTTTACCCATACCTATTAGATTCATAGTAAACTTTTATACTTCAAAAAGCAGCCAAACGAAACATGGCGACTGTGGTGAACTAATCAACCGAAATGATTACTTGCTTTCTTAACTAAAGACGAATTTTCATTAGGCCTCGGGAATTGTGACGCCACGACCTTAAATGAATCAACGTTCCGTTTCGCTGCATTCATTACTGCCTTCGAGTTCAGGATCTGAGCCGGGGCCATGAAGGAATAGATAGGATCCTTCTGCCCTTGGATAGAAAAAAAAATGACTACAAAAAGCCTGTCGAAGCCAGGATTTAATGAATTCAGGCTTCGGAGTCTAAAAGGATCGATGAGACTCGGTAGTTTGGAAGAAATTGAGTGCAGAGTATCGGACATCGACTGACGTTTCTAGAGGACTTGGAAACTAAGCATTGCTGAGCGAGCGAATTAAACGCAGAAAAAAACGTTTATTGGCTAAAGGCTTGCACATAAATACATTGAAAACTACACGCTGACCAAATAGGTGAAACAAATGCAAGGAAAATTTGCACGCATCAATATAGATGAATAAATTATTTAGTCGAAGAAATCCTGAAAGGTGCAACCAGAAAAAATCTTATCGAATGTAAACGAACAGATGATGACCTGTGAGCTGCACATGAAAGTTGCAGCCGAATATAATTTTGAAACGCAAGGCCACAATCCGCAACAATCCCAAAGTTAAGTCGGAACAAAGACAGTTCAGGACCACAGTCCAGATTCAGATGAAGCGGAACGCAGGACTGTCACTGCGAGGCCCTGAAAGGATTCCGAGAAGCGCTTGCGCAGGAGGCAAGGATTCGGCATAGTGCCAGCGGCGCCGAAGTGACTCAGCGGACGACGTAAAACATGACTTCTGAAGTCAAGACTTCTCCTGCGCTACCAGGAACTCCTTCAACAGTGCCAGCGGTTCCTAGAGCACACACACCACCGAGATCTCAGCCATGAAACCGACATTATCTGCAGATGAGAAAAAACATCAGCATTGGTATCGGTGAGGAAAAGTACAGGAATAAACGGAAATTCATGAGGAGTATGACCTATACTACCGCAGAAAATTCACTAGCGAAGCATGGCGATGTTCATGGATAGCAAAGCAAAATAAAATTCAGAACCAAAAATAGTCGATTTCACAGGTCATGGCCTGTATAGCCCAGTAGCCAATACCTGTTGAACTCAGCGCGAGAATGCGGACAACGCTGGAGCCTCTCACCTAACAGCGGCCTAAATTGAGAAAAATTGGGAAAAATCTTGTCGCGAGTGAGAGCGAAATACTCTTACAACGAATTGGCTAG